TTCTTTCTGGGGAGTGAGACGTTGTTCACACGAGTCCGGAGCTAAAGATTGGATCGACTCAGATCTGGGCGAAAAGGGCCTTGCGCACCTTGGTTGGCTAGTTGGTGCCCAGATTTCTATGGTAGGATACGTAGGGATAAAGAACGATAAGGGGACCATTGCTGAACGTCACGCGATGGCCAATGTGTTTGATTTACCTATGACATACTAATATTACACCACTTTTATTGGTTTTGTTGAGATAGCTGCTGTTCATACCTGTGTTTCGTGATTTAAAAGTTATAGGTTATACATATGAGTAAAAATTTCAGAATGTCGCTAAAGAAGTTAATCGACGTGTCCACTCTATCTCAACTACTCAAGAAAAATATCATCAACAATGAAGGTGTCCGTCTTCTTGACTGCACATATGTCGTTAGTGATAAGCCTGACTGGAAGATGTTCAAGAAGGAATATTATGGAAATTTCAAGAAGATTGCTTCCCGGCCGTGTATGTAAGTACTGTAGCTTATGTAGTATCACGTTGTTAGAGGGGGGGGGGACTATTCACAGGCTCAATTGTGAATGTGGCGGCAGGTAAATATTCGCCAGTTCAGGCAAAGGGGAAGGCAGCATGTGCAGAGGAGGGCACAAGTGGTTCAGGAATACAGTTAGATGTGTAATAACACCTCTAACCCTTCTCTCCCGGAGCGATAACTCTCCCCTGTCACCGCGCTCACATCCATTCATAGGCATTCGCTTCCCAGCGCTAGAAATACTGTGGCAATACACTCGAGATTCGCCTAGATCGGGAGGCATGCAGCCGTGTTTTTCAACTCTACCTTAAGGCGTCTACGCTCTGATGCGATAGTTTCTTGTCGACACAATCGTTGTCGTGTCTCTGTCCAACAGAGAACAAGATGACAGTTGTCCCAGACTGGAATATTCCACTAGTAACCAGTTCCTTACAGTGTTCGAATGCTCCGCCTACCCGATCTCAGGGATTTCGAGTATAAGTAGGCGCGCTTGTAGGTTAAAGGCATAAGGCGCGATAATTTGGCGCTCCGTCTAAAATGGTAGCAGGAATACTATATAGTGAGAAAATGGCGAAAGAGCGGAGTGGAAACGGTTGAAAACCCTGCAAAAAGCTTTGTTCTCACTAATTAAAAGCAATTTCGCAATTTCGGACGAGTTTCCCGTTGGCATCGTGCCAATAAGCGCCACGGTAGATAAAGGTGCATGTATGCACTCATATATCCATGCAGCACCGCAGCCGCTTCATATCAACCCTTCGCTTCATATTGTACTTCGCAAATGAAGCGATACGAGCATCAGCATCGGTCGGACATTTGTGGGCGGGGGGCGTCTGGGTCGGTATGTTGCAGCTTGATAGGGCGCTATAAGGGTACCTTCCTCGGAAAAGCGCCGCGCAGCGCGCCGAAATCCGCCCTGCTAGAGGCATCAATCCTACATGTCTTGGGGATTTCTCGTGCTACTTTAATATTAGTGGTTGCGTTTGAATCCGACTGGGGAGTGGTCCGGTATCAGCAATCAATCTGTTCCATAACTTACCTTATGGGTAGGAAGATATTATTTCCTTCAGCTTTCGCTTTCGGCAGTTCTGAATATTAATCATTTAGTTATCCAAAACGGCTTTAGGGAACCATTAGACATCAAAGTAGGTACCGAAGGAGTGCTTATCCCAGGCTTATCCTAGTGCCATAACTGTCGGCTGGCCTCAAAGGCACGGTCCGCGATCAGGTATCGAAGTTGAAAATATGGCGTCAGGAGGTTAGAGTGGTCCGCGACGAACAACCTTGTACCGGTTTCGCGGCAAAAAATTCTATGGGAGGGGCGCTATAGCGCAATATAGGTTCAGTGGTTCCTCCTTTTTTCCAGTGACTCCGCCTCCAGACTCCGCCTCCAATGCCCGGCTTTCAGTGAAAAACGAGATTGCAGGACGAAAAAGCATGAAATCGTCACTTGTACGATCGTAGAGCTCTTATCGGTGAATCAACTGTATATGAGGGCGTAGTGTGGGAGATGGAGTTCATTGGGCACGTACAAACTGGATCAAATGGGTTCTATCTAGGGCAGGTGGCATGTTTTTTGTGCTTTTTTCTTCACTGTCGAGTTACTCAACCCCTTGTCGTCCATGTGGAACCCCTAATCCACCATCCGAGATCAGGGACGCCATCGTTGTGATCATCACAACAGGGGGTCGTATTTGACCTCGAGGGGGGGGGTCGTAAGCGCGGGGACCTTTCTGAAGTGAGGGTGCAGCGATACCCAGATGTCGTTCAGCTTCAATGATGAAAGACTTATCCATGTGAAGAACCCCTGAAGAGACCCACACAAGACAGAAGCAACCTGCCAGCGCAGAAGTGGGGAACGGGCGATGACAGGAAATACGATGGCCGCCACAACGACGTCATGAATTAATAAACAGATGAAAATACACTTCCGAACCTTTCTGATCGCAGAAGCACGT